TGCCATTTTTTCATCTAAAAAATCTTCCAAAGTCTATTTGTAACTTTGACACAGACACGTTACTTGGAATATGAACAAATGGTTACAGAATTTCAACTGGAAAACCAAACAACTTGAGAGCAAAATACCAAGAAATTCTCAGAAAAGAAAAAGAAAGGAGGTGCTTGATCTAAGAGAAACTGAAGATCAGTTTGGGCTCTTGTTAAACATTGACATTTTTGGAGCAGAATTAAAAATTTTTTTGTGAGGCTATTTAGCCCTTATGTAAGCATATGATGCATGTATGTATCCAGTTCCATGCATGTGAGTCAAATATATGAAAAAGCAACATGAACTGATGGGAAATGGATGCATTATTCAGTGGAGGCAGAAAAGGCAAATCAAGCCATCTACTAGCTGGCTCCTCCCAGATTTCCTTCAGGATAGAGGCTCCTCTCTCAGACACAGTTTTATTTGGTAAACAATTCAGGGTCTTAGAGGAGCCAGGATTTCAACTTTTTCTCAGGTTTTCAGAGCGTGAGAAGCCCAGCTTGTTGGTGTGGAGCAAAGCATGGAGTGAGGGTACATAGGAAGGTCTCTTGAGCAGCAGAAGAATTGCTGAGCATCCATGGAGGTGCCTGACATAGGTACTCATCAGACCCCAGGAAAGATGTTGGTTGTCTGGCCTACTGAGATGGCACTGCAGATAAAGGCACTTGCCATCTAGCTTGATGACCTGAGGTTGTTCCTGAGACCCACACAGTGGATAGAAAGAACCCACTTCCACAAGTTTTCCTCTGACCTCCTCATGGACACTGTGGTCTCTCTCTCTCTCTCTCTCTCTCTCTCTCTCTCTCTCTCTCTCTCTCTCACACACACACACACACACACACACACGTGTAATTTTTAAAATGGTCTTGGTTGCTAAAGAGGGCAGGGCAGTGGCTTCATCTGTGGGTACAAGTGACCCTGAACATGTGTGGCATGGGATCACCAAACCCATTTGCAGCCTTCTCTGGCTATGGATGCACAAACAAGCTGGCAGGAAGGAGGCCTCCACAACCTGGGCCCCCCTCATAGATAGCACATTATGCTACCCATGGCAGCTGCAGTAAACCTTAACACCAAGCACGTAACCCCAAGTGGAGCAGTAGATGCAGACCTCAGTTGTCATAGTAGCAAAGATTCAAATGAAAGCTGTGAAGGGCCAAAGGGCACAAGGGTCCACATATTTAGCAGCAGTTGAGCTCATCATTTTATCATGAGAGATGAGCTGGCTCCATTCCAGAGGCACATGTGATGCCTGCTGTTGCCACGGTTGTTTGAAATAGTCTGTGGTAACTGTTTATGATGAACCAGATAAATGATATAACAGCAGTCAGTTTTAGTAAAAGTTGATGATGAAGCTGTTTTGGACAGTTAAGGATATTTTCTGTTTGTTACTACAATATCTTGTATGTACATTTAATTAAGGAGCTGCTTTATCTGGACACCTTTGTAGAAAACACAGAGCTCAGGGGCTGGGAAGATGGCTCAGTAAATATTGTAAATCATGAGGATCCTAGTTCAATCCCAGCATCCATGTAATTCAAGAAAAAAGAAGAAGAACGAAAAAGCTAGGCATGGCAGTGCAATGCCTGAATGGCCCGGGACTGGAGAAGCAGAGATGGGAGAGTCCCTGGCCTTGTTGGCCAGCCAGTCTAGCCAAATCAGTTCAGTGAGAGACCTTGTCTCAAAAACTAAGGTAGAGTGCCATTGAGGAAGATTCCTGTAGTCAGCCTCTGGCCTCCACACCTCACACACACACACACACACACACACACACACACACACACACATGTACATACCTACGTACCCACACATATAAACACATACTTAGACACACACAAAACTCAATATGAAATAAGGATGCTCCACAAATGTTTATTTTACCATATTCTGTTGGCTTATTTGTTTGACCCTACAGTCTTGTGCTAAGCAAACCACTCTACCACTAAGTTCTGTCCCCAGCTCTCTGGTTGTTTAACATTGGTGTGTTTGACAAAGGAGTTCAGTGGATGTCTGCAAAACTTATCTGAAGAAGTTGCCCTGGAAGTTACTAAGCTAAAACTGAACTGGTTACCAGGAGCCGTGGAGGAGCTGATTGGAAACAGAAGGCCTAAAAAGCAAGGAGGCAAGCCTCCTTACAGAGGTTACTTCTGTGTTGGGTATGGGACTGCTATCTTTAAGTTAGTTGGCTCATACAAAGAATTATCTTGAGTTGACCTGAACTGCCTTGACCAATCTATATGCTCTCGGAATTTAACATTTTTTTGTTGGTATTCTTTTTTTTTTTTGAGACAGGGTCTCCCTGTAGCCTGAGCTGTCCTGGAACTCACTTTGTAGACCAGGCTGACCTTGAACTCACAGAGATTCGCATGCCTCTGCCTCCTGAGTGCTAGGACTAAGGCTGGCATCAAACTCATTTCATCCTGCCTGAGCCTCCTGAATGCTGTGAGCCTAAGGAGTTGGATTATATTCTGCTAGGTCACTCTTATGCCATTATTAGTTCGTGTTGGTTTTAATGCTTATGGATGTATGCACCTGCAAATTAGCATTTCAGAAAGATTTGTCTTTTATATTTGCTTCCATTTGAGGTTCCTGGCAGGAAGTTTTGATTAGGTGGTTAATATAAACATGAACAGTTAAAATTTCATTTACATGCTGGCATACTCACATTTTCCTGTTAAAGATTTTAAGGAGGGAGGAAAGGACTTTCCTGTTAAGAACTGACAGCACCCAGTTGGTTGAATTGTTTGCCTGACATTGGTTACAGAGTGTTGGGGCAGACTCTTGAGCACACCTCTGCCTGTACCTTTTAGAAGCCGAAGAAATGACTCCTTCCTCTAGACTGTTGTTTCAGTTTCTTGTTCCAGTGCCCCTGGCTTTTCCCACTGTCTCCCTGCAGGAAATCATCTCTTTTTTTTTTTTCTTTCTGTTTATTCCACTTGACTCTTTTCTGATCACTTCCACATTCTTTTTTAAAAAAATATTCATTTGTTTATGTATATGAGTGTATTCCTTGCATGTATTTGAGTGCAGCCAGGTCATGCAATGCGCTAGGAGTCCAGAAGAGGATGTTGGCTTCCTTGGAACTGGAGTTAAGGATGGTTATTAGCCACCAGGTGGGTGCTGGGACTCTAACCCTGGTCCTGTGCAAGAGCAGCCAGTGCCCTGAGCCATCTCTCCAGCCCCCTCACAACCACATTCTTAAAAAATAGCTTTTGCTGTGGACTTGTGTCCTTCCTGTTGCTTATGTTTGGAAATGACAGTGTCTTCAGGGTCTGTTCGGATAGCCCCCTGGAAGTCTGTCCCTCTTAAAATTTCTGTGACATTTTCTTTCAATCTCTTACTCATTCCATTCAGCTTTGGAGAGCTATATTTATTTTTTTAAAAGATGTTTTTAAGATAGAGTCTGATGTGGCCCAGGCTGGCCTCTGACTCCTTGTATAGCCTAGGATGAACTTGATTCTCTTGGCTCCATCTTTCAAGAGGCAGGATGGCCTGCGTGCCTTCTCATGCCCAGCTCTTTTTTAGTTTTAGGTATTTTCTTTAATCCCTACTTAAAGTCTTTAAGATCCCATTTGTCACTGAACCCCTCCCTGCCTTTACAGAGAGTATGAGGCATCACCGAGTGAGCTAGTGACAGTGCTCTTTCCATAATGAAAGCTGATTATGGGAGTGGCATGGTGGAATTTTTCAGTTTTCCATCTCATCCAGATGAGGTTCCTTGATCAGAATGCTCTCAGTGTCCCAAGAGGCAGATGCACCCATATTCATGTATAGATGTAAAGCCATCTGAAGCCTGGTAGAAAGAAGTGTTTATTCATTCTTTTAGTCCTACTTAGCATGGAAAAGCATGAGTTTACCAAGAGATTAAAAAAAATCTCTAAAGATAACTTCATCTTGATTCATTTCGTTAAAAACTTTTTTGTTTTTTTTTAAATGCCCATTGAAAAGAAAGAATAATTTTTTACCCTACGTTTCTCTTTCTTTTTGTGATATTCCATCTTCCCCCTTCCTGTGCTGGGGACCAGACCTAGGGCCTTATACTTGATAGATAAGCACTCTTCCAAGGAGCTAAACTCCCACACATGGCTCAGAGAATTTTTAAGTCATTGTGGTGGTTTGAATGAAAATATTCCCCATAGGCTCCAAGTATTTGGACATTCTGTCCCCACATGGTGGCGCTGTTTTGGGAGGTCTTTCTTAAAGGCGTGGCTAGCCTGGAGGAAGCACATCACTGGGGGTGGGCTTAGAGAGTTCTTAAGCCTTGCCAGATCTCTAGTTACTCTCTTGCTTCCTGTGCCTGTGTGATGATGTGAGAGCTTAGCTTCTGATGCTCCTGCTTCAGCCACCTCCAGCCACCATGCCTCCCTGTCATGATGGACCGTAATTCCCCTGGAACCGTAAGCTCAAATTAACTCTTCCTTCTGTAAAGTACTTGGGTCAGTGTTTCTATCACAGCAACAGAACAGTGCCTAATATAGTCATAGAACTAGCAAATAATCTGAATTTGCAATTGTTGAGTCAGGCTTCCCTCTTGCCCCATCTTACAGACACACTCCACTTGCCTTCCATGTCTGTGACAGTGTCCGCTCCCCTGTGGTGTGATTTCTTACTGAACACAATTTGCTTCAGACCTCTGTACTCCAGAGGCCTCCTGTTATAGATATGATGGAAAATGAGTCCATATTCACATTATCCTTATTTAATGATAGTGACTGAGGCTTAAAGATAAGATGGTCAGCTGCTAGGGGGGCAAAGTTATTGCGGCATCTCACAGTGCTGAATAACACTATTTAGCCAGCAAGCTGACTTAATGACTTGTACTGGGACCAGTGTGGCATTCCTGTTCATGAGTTTGAAGTTCTACATACTGTCTACCCCCCAATGTGCACACACACACAAAAACATACATTACACAAATGCACAGATACACATACACTTATATGCACATACACATATGTACACATACTCATATACACTTGTACACACTCATACACACATACACGTACATAGTCCTGTACGTACTCTTGTGTACACAATACACACATACACAGTGCGCGCACTCAGGCATACTCATACACACATACATACCTACATGCACACCGTCATACACATATCCACTCATACACATACACACACATAAACACATACTCATATATACACATACATGCACACAGTCATACACATACACACAGACATACACATACATGTGTGCATACACTCATACACCCGCGTATATGCACACACTCATGCACATATCCTCATTCTCACCCTCTCACACAACCTAGTAGAGATTTGACACTTGGGGACAGTATCAGTCACTCCATTAGAAATAACTTCACTGCCACTGGCTCTCATGCCTTTTAGTACAAACCGCTCTTAGGTTTCTAAACTCCATTTGGGTGCTTAGAATAAAAAAAAAAAAAAAGTTGGGTCCTTTTTGTTTTTATGTTGGCCAAATTTCATTTCTACTGTTGGGAATGAAAGTTGATAGTCACACTCTGAAATTAATAGCTCTTGGCAGATTTGGGCACTGCAGAGATTTTTAAGCAAGGCGATCAGTGTGATGGTTACCTCTTCTTTATTTTTAGGTTGATGCCTTTCCTCCCAATGGCTATGGCTTGTACAACATTGTGGGGAATGTGTGGGAGTGGACCTCAGACTGGTGGACCGTTCACCATTCTGTTGAGGAAGCACACAATCCAGTGAGTATCATTCTGGAAGCACACTTGTAGCTGGGGGTGATGACATCTGTTCCTGTTCAGACTACAGCAAGGATCTCATGTGTTTCTCATTATATCAATCTCATATTTCCCTAAAGGGACATTAAGCCCACTTCTCATTTGAACTTTGGAGTGCTATATAAAAATGTCTCATTTTATGTGCTTTTGGATGGGGATAATGCTAACTATTTGCAGGAATCTACTTGTACCTTTAGAATTTTTACTCTGTCTCATAAATTTGAGCTAAGTGTGATTTATAAATAACTACAAAATTCATTAATGTAGCTGGGCATGGTGGTGTATGCCTTTAATCCCAGTATTTGAGAGGCAAAGTCAGGTGGGTTTCTGTGAGTTTGAGGCTAGCTTAGTCTACATAGTGAGTTCCAAGCCAGCCAGGCCTTTGTCCCCAAACATTTAAGTTACTGTTTTTAGTATTAACTGTTAAAATCTGTTAGATGGTATTTTTCATGCAACTCCTTGTTTGAGTTTTGATGGGTTCAGATTTTGATTCAGCAGCATTATGCAAAGAAAACAAGAATGTGTGCTTTCTCAGGTAAATGTTGAGTTGGAAACTTGGGTCATTTGCAGTTATTTCAAGTCTGTTGTATGACAGGGGATGCATCATATACCTTGGGAATAGAAGACAGCTTTGTTCCTCTAAGGTGTATATCTTCTGGTTTGTAAAAAAATTTCAGATACAAGTGTTCTGCTACCCTACCTCTAAAACCAAACTCTGCTTTTCCGCCAAGTGTACAAAACTTGAGATTCAGCTGGGTGGGGTGGCATTCACCTTCAATCCAAGAACTTGAGAAGCATAGGCAGGTGGATCTCTGTGAGATCAAGGCCAGCCTAGTCCACATAGTAAGTTCCAGGCCAGCTGGGGCTACAGGGAGAGCCTGTCTCAAAAAACAAAATAAAATAAAAAATAGAACTTGAGATTCAAAATGGATATTCAGAAAGTACTTCCTTTAAAATAACGTCTTTGCATACTTTTTGTCTTTGAATGGTTTGGGGCTGGAATACATAATCGTCCCATCTCTAGGTAACTTAGGAAAGAACAATATTAAAACTAGTCCCATGGGGAGCTCAACAGGTTTAACCTTTTGCAAAGGCAGTGAAGATGATAAAGAAAATTAATTCTTCAGTTCCTTCTCATTGGAGGGTTAAACACCTCAGAGCAATTGAAGAAGCCTGTTGACTCTGTGCCCCAGGCCATTTTTCATAATGTGTGGATAAATTTCTGCTTGATATGCTTAATTTGCTTTCACAGACAACCACATGGGCTGTTTATGAATAATCTAGAGACACAGATCTACTTTTGGAGGGTTTAGATGAAAAAGCTGAGTTCTTCAGAAACTATCTCCCCCACCCTCTGTTTTTCCTCTACTTTCTGGCAGGGCTGGTGGAAGTAATGGTTAAAGACAACCTGTCTCTTCGAAATGAGAATAAGGTTGTGAGTCTTGGTGAGTCTGTGGTCGGGAGCTGCATTCTCTACTGGCAGGACGTGACTTGGCATTGGTTGTCAGAAGCAGAAATAGATTTTTTCTTTCTCTGTCAGATTAAAGCATCTGCATGTTTGGAAGGGGCTGTGCAAGGCTCCAGAACTTTGGCAAGTTGTGAATGTATCTATCTGACCATCTGGTGTTGAGCTGAGCATGAATTAGCTTTCAGTTTTATAATGGCTTGAGTTTCTTCTAAGGATTTGCAGAAAAATTCACATTTTTCATTTTACCAGTCCCAGGCTCTTTCCTGGATGTCATCCTCGTTTCATTGAAATTGTTCCCATTTTTTATGTATCTTTGCCACAGTGGATTCATTTGCTTTTTGATTTGATGGGATTAAAACTCAGTAGTTCAGAGAACTAAACCCTAACTCCAAAGGCACCACCAGTGAGGTTTTGACAGCTTTCTTCATTTCCAGTAGACAAGTTCTCAGCATTGCCTTCATCAGTGACTATGTCAGCCACTCAGGGGAATACTCAGCCTTCACGCTGTTTGCCATTCTGCATCTAGAATGGTCTTTGTGGAAAACAAATCTAATACTGTTATTTTCCAGTTTAGATTTCGGAATGGCTTTTTCGCACGTGTGTGTGTGTGTGTGTGTGTGTGTGTGTGTGTGTGTGTGTTTCTTTTTCTGAGATTCAGTCTTATTATATAGTACAGGTTGCTGGCTTGGGATAGACCCTGGCCCCTTTCATCCACATTATCAGCAGTTTCTGTATGCTGTGGTTTTCTAGGAGCTGGGAGCTCCTTGGGCCTATTTCTTTCACAAATGAGCAGCTTGGCTAGGTGGGGTCTTGCCCTAAAGGTACTCTTTCCTTTTTTTTTTTTTTTAATAAATAATTTATTGAGAATTTCATATATGCATATAAGGTGTTTTAGTCAAATCCACGCCCACTCCCTTCCCTCCAACTCTTCTCATATTGCCCCATCACTTTTTTTTCTGATAACTTCATGTACTCTTTCTTCTTCTTTGATTGATTTATTTTTTTAATGGGGTTTTTGGCTACTCTAACATTCCCTCCTCTGAAGAGGTAACCTTAAAATCCTTTAAGGATTAGATAAAAGCTCCCAAATATTTTCGACATTTTTGGCCTTGGAACAGAATATGTTGCTAAGAGGCCCAAGGACATTGTGAGTTTTAGCTAAGAAACTGGCTACTTTTCTTTGGGGTCTTTTTACCCTAACTGCCTAGCCAATTCCTACCTCCTATTCTTATCACACCGTGCTATGAAGAGGTTACCCAAATTGCCAATAGGGAATCGAAGGGTACTCTTTCTTAAAGAGCAAATCTGGAGTCCTCTCCTTAGTGACTCTAATGTCCTTTAGAATTGGGAACCTTTCTTCTAGGACAGGCCCTGGCTACCTTGACTGCAACATTAAGCTTCCCAATATTCTTTTTCTCCCTGAACTGTGTATTTTGTATTTCTTTCTGCCCCAGTTTTTCTTTTTCATTGTAAGTCTGCATAAATATTCAGCGTTAATAATCATGCCACAGATTCAAAATTCAGCTGCCTTGATAATTCCTCCACCAAAGAAATGAGTCCACTACTTTTTAATTTAGCCTCAGGCAAGTTCTTAGGCCATTGGCAAATGGCAGCCAGATTCTTTGCCAAAATATCCCAGTTGCTGTTTTAGCCCTTGCTTCCATCTCCCTCTGGCCTGGCTCTACCAAAGTGGCCCACTAAGCTCTGCTTACAACATTTAACCATTTTTTTCTAGTCCAAACTTCCAAAGTCTTCCAAATTCCTTCCAAAAACAACATGATCAGGTTCTTCACAGGAATAACCCCCTCTCTGCTACCAATTCTGTATTAGTTACTTTTCCTTTGCTGTGTTAAACACCATGACCAAGGAAACTTGTAGAAGAAGAGTTTATTGGGCTTACAGTTCCAGAGGAATAAGAGTCTGTTGTGGTGGGGAAGTATGGCAGCAGTGTGGCTAGAGTGGAAACCTGAGCACCCGCAGCTTCAGGCAGGCATGGGAAGCAGAGAGAGCAAACTGGAAGTGGGGCAGAGCTATAAACTCTTAAAGCCCACTGTCAGTGATATGCTCCTCCAGGTAGACCACCCCTCCTAAAGGTTCCATGACCTCCCCAAACAGCACCGCCAACTGACCAAGTGTTTGAATACTTAGAGCCTATGAGGGACACTTCTTATTCAAACCACTATACCGTTCTTAATCTACTTGATATTGTCAGTATTTTACATTTCAGCTGCTCTGGTTAGTATTTGGTACTATTTTACTGTGGTTTTCTCGTCCTTATTTTTTTAAATTCACTATTATTATTGGGGAGGGGTGCATATGTGGAAGCCAGAAAACAACTTTGTGGAGTTGGTTCTCTGCTTCCACTTTTATGTCTGTCTGTTCTAGAGATGGAACTCATTGTCAGGTTTAGGCAAACTCCTTTGCCCACTAAGCCATCTCACAGTTCCAGTTGCCATTTTGTGATGTGTGTACCTGTGGAACATCTGGCTAGCATATTGAGCCACTTCTTTTGTTCTTGGTTTTTGGTCACATCTTTTTTTTTTTTTTTTCCACACATACGTAGTTATTTTTGATTGAATACCAGACATTCTGTATGGAGAACTGTGCAGAGTTTTTGAGGTCTAGATAGTATATTCTTTAGAGTATTTACCTTTGCTTCTAGAAACTTCTGTGCAATATTAGCTTAATCCAGTCAGGAACGCAAATGATATGAGACTGAGCTTCAGTCACTGTGAAAACTGGTCTATTTCTAGTTCACCTTGGCATAGTTCTTCAAGGTACCAACGAAAAGCCTGGGGGTTTTACCATGTGTGTAGAACTCCAGGTTTTTTGTTTCCTTAGGGCCGTGAGTCCATTGGAAGTCCTATTTAGCATCCACTGCCATTTGAATTAATAGACCTCCAGGAAGTCAGTTTTATCTTTCTAGATATCCCTTTTCTCTGGGATTCGAAGTGCTTATCTGGTTTGATCAAATCCTGTTTCTCTTTGAGGTCCTAATTTGTTTGTCTTTCTTCCCCCAATGACTTGTATATCTTTAGTGCTTAGCAAAGAACCTGGTGTGTAATCACTAATCCTGTAATAATGTCAATTCCTGATAGCTAGGCTTGGAGGAGTTCAATCATTGTCCAAACTCCAGGTGCTTGAAAAGCAGAACTCCTTAGAAGGAGACATTTTCAGGGAAAGTTTCAACCCAAATACCTATGTAAGCATTTCAACCCAGGATCTGACCTCTTTAGTGTCTCGTATTTATATTATCTCCAAGACCAGCTAGCTCATCATGGTCATTTTAAAGCTGCTTTGAAAAGCTTGGGAAAAGTCAGTGCCCCCTATGCAAAAGTTGTTCAGGAAATACCTTCTTAGTCAGTGACTTCAGGGAGCAAAAGTTAATCATTAGTTTTTATTTTATTGGGCAGTCATCTATGGCAAAACAGGTTGCGGAAACAGCCTTGTATACTTTGTACACAGAGTCCTAAGGGAAGATACTTGGCCATGTGGA